CGTTTACATTTCGATTTCATGCCATTCGATCTGCAAATTTAGGGCATCAAACGAGTGATTTGGTGATTTATTTTCGTAATTTTGAATACTATTTTTGTTGCCTCTGTATACTGTTACTTAATTTTGATTTGGTTTCTGAGAAAATGGAGCATAGAATAGCATTTTGCTAGCTTGGTGCTGTGTTTGACAGCTGGGGAAGGGATCACTTTGAATGAAGAGCATTTGGTTTTGATGGGTATTTGTTTTATAATCTAAAACATAAAGGTGTTTGCTGGTATCTTCAGGAAAACAGTGATGTTTATGTGCATATTTTCGTTGCTTTGTGTTTCAGCTGGAATTCTTCTTTCTCACTTTGTTACTGGTACAGTTAGGAAAATGTGCACAATAGTGTTTTGACATATTAATATTTAACACTATAAAAATGTGCACATTAGCAGTTTACACGCTATAAAAGAAAAAAAAGAAACTGCTAAGATGTATGTCTAGAAAAATAAGGGCGATAAAAGAAAACTTTTAAGACGACGATTTATCACACGCGCTCGATTAAAATATGAAATTGTTGAAAGGGACATCTATATAATTACAATTACGGAAAAATCGTTACAAGTACTATAAATTCGATAAAGGAAAAATATTCTTGTTAAATTCATGACATATATGGTCGCCTTAAGGACTGTATAATTAATTAATTAATTCTTGTGTATTGCCGTCAACATTTACATGCATGATTTTGGGACGTTATTCATTATATATGTATACGTGCATGGTTTTTGTTTGATGAATATTTTTCATTTTTTTTCTTCATGTTTTTGGATAGTGGGAGGTGGAAATCTGATATGATAAACAAGAAATTATTCTAGCATGCTATCACATGACCTTGGGGCTATTATCCGTAGCAAATGTCCAATGAATCATGGATATTGGGAGGACGTTCTTGAAGATCAGAAGAAAGAAGGTTTTTTCTTTTTAGACTAGTTTGCTTTATTGGCATTTGATGCTCTTTACATAGTTGCAAAATTCCGAAATTTGTCAGCGCAATACAATATGAAATTAATATTAAGAGCAGATTTATTATTTATTAAGTAGTGTAAAAATATAACTAGGATAAAATCCTGCGACTGAAAGTGCTCACACAGAGATTTCCATTCATGCACTGCATCTCTCTCAATTATCTCCAATGATGGATTGGCCAAAGCCTCCTTAGGAGATAAGAAAAGTTGAAAGTGCTTATGCAACTCGTGCTTGAAGTCCCTAAAACGCCTTGTATCGATTTAGTCATGGCTAGGCGTTTTAGAGACTTCAAGCACGAGTTGCATAAGCACTTTCAACTTTTCTTATCTCCTAAGGAGGCTTTGGCCAATCCATCATTGGAGATAATTGAGAGAGATGCAGTGCATGAATGGAAATCTCTGTGAGCACTTTCAGTCGCAGGATTTTATCCTAGTTATATTTTTGCATACTTAATAAATAATAAATATGCTCTTAATATTTATTTCATATCGTATTGCGCTGATAAATTTTGGAATTATGCAACTATGTAGAGAGCATCAAGTGCCAATAAAGCAAACCGGTCTAAAAAGAAAATGTAGCATCATGCAGGTTCATTATCATTCTCACACATTGTGATGTAGTGTGCAGAGGTAATTTGTATATTGGTTTTTGGCAATTTGTTGTTTGATTTGACAATGTAATATTTCAACTTGTGAAAATTATCCAATTATTTGCATTCTGTACATTGAATCAATTATAGTGATATTGTTATGATGCATTTGGTTTATGAATATTTAATAGCATCATTGCAACTGCAACTGTTTTGCAGCAAAGTTGGGTGATTCTCTTTCCTCATGGTTCAGTGTATGAATTTGAGGACGGCCCAATTTGGAAATTTCAAACTTGATTTATTAATAAAGGAATGAAATAAAAGAACTTAAAGTTTAAAGGAAAGGTGGAAAAGAAACCCAAAAAAAAAAAAAAATCCAAACAAACAATCAAAGCGTGGGAAGTCCAAACCAAAGTACAAAGACCCATCGGAACACAGAGATTTTCTGTTATTTTTATACAAAGTCCTGCTTTCTGGGTTTCAGAGGGACGGAGAGACGATGGAGGTTACTGATGGATCCTCGTGTTTTGTTCTTCTCTGTTCATAGGTATGCCAGAATTTTGAACTGATACTCATTCTTTTGCTTGATCATTTAAGCTTATGTGTAACATGCACAAAGTTATAGTTAGATTGCTTCATGTAGTGCTGTTAAGATCTGCTGCATGACATTGCTTTGTTGTTTTCTTGAATTAGAAGTTGCTATCAAGAGGCTTACGCTTTCAAGGATTCTGTGACATAACAATTTCTAACCTTTCCATTCTATCGAAAGTTTTTATCATTGGAGCTTTTAGCTTGTAACTTGTTTGGTTGACTTGTCCCACATAAGATCAAAATTCTTAGTTATGATGACGGATAAAGCTGTGCTTTTGTCAGGCATGAGTTTGGAAGCTTTTATCCAGCTACTGATGATGGTTTATATACTATGATTGGAGAAGGACCAGGAGCAGGATACAACATTAATGTCCCTTGGGAAAATGGTCGGTGTGGGGATGCAGACTATTTTGCAGTTTGGGACCATATTTTGGTTCCTGTTGCCAAGGAATTTAATCCTGACTTAATTATAGTCTCTGCAGGATTTGATGCAGGTTGGTGGATTAACCATTTCTGTTGAACATATTTTTCCTTATACCTTCCATTTTTCTGACTAGTAGGGGTTTGTAATTTGTTGTGCTGTGAAGATATCAAATAGTATTTCATAAAAGAAACTTACTCAACTCAAGAGTAGTCATCTCATAAAAATTTAAATACCATCTCAACATGATTTTTTTTTTCCTTCTGATGGGAAGGGGGACGGGGTGTTGTTATGAAACTATGTATTATCACTAATTATCCCAATTTCAGTAGTTGTTAATTTTGTTCATTTTTATCATTTGGAGATGGCCACTTTTAAAATCAAAGCAGTGGAAAGAATGCAATCTTCTGAAGAAAGTTGCTGGGAAGTTAAGATATTTATTTATTCTATATATAACTCTTTAAGTATCATAATTTTTTTCAAATGAATTTGCTTGAAACAGCTGCTGGTGATCCTCTAGGGGGTTGTTGTGTCACGCCATATGGATACACGGTTATGTTGAAGAAGGTCATTTTTACAGTTTAATGTTGTTTCTCTTTTCTCATTAGTCTGGCCTTGATTATTTCATCATGTTTGAAATATTTTGAATTTGTGATGCGGTTTTTTCCCCCTTTTCCTCTCTAGCTTCCTATTACGGTTGGGCTTGTCTCTCCAGTTCAATAAATTCCCTGCAATTTTGGTTTGGAGTGATTCTTTGGGTAATTTTTAGATGCCGTTGTGATTATATTACTTTTATTGTCCTTCAGTTGATGAATTTTGCCCATGGTATGTTGTGTTTATATTACTTTTATTGTCCTTCAACTGATGAATTTTGCCCATGGTAAAATCGTGTTGGCTTTAGAAGGAGGATACAATCTCGAGTCTGTAGCAAATTCAGTTCTTGCTTGTGTTGAAGTTCTGCTAGAGGACAACCCTATTCGTGGGTCTTCAGAGGCATATCCATTTGAATCTACATGGCGTGTGATACAAGCGGTAAAATGACATGTGGTACCTTTTTGGGTTATTATTTATCCTTTTCTTCCTCCTGTTCATTCTAGCCGATTATTATTTAACGTGAGTCATTGGTAATATGCTTCAAAGTTCTTTGTTTCTCTAATGCATATGTAATCTTCTTTCCAGGTTCACCAGAAACTAAGTTCTTTCTGGCCATCGCTTGCTGATGAATTACCTGAGAAGCTAACGAATAAAAAAGCGCCTCCAGCTGCTGTATGTTTCCTTTTCTCTCATCAGTACTTCTTTGTTTATTGCTTCTGATGTTGAGTAGTCAATACTTCTATTCAATTATTTGATTATTTCCCAAAAAGCTTTTATTAAACAACTTAGGAATGGATGATTCTCACTCTTCTCTCGATACTCGGTAGCTATTTCTTTTGTTCCCCACAAATATTGCTATGATATTTGTTTTGCCATTCTAGCATATTCTGACCTCAAGCTCTGATTCTGAAGAGGAGGACTATGAAGCTCCAAATGCCATATCTAAACATCTTGAGGAGGTTCTTCGGGATGTTATAGAGCCCCTTTCGAAGTTGAGAATTGATGAAAGTATTCAGGGTAAATTGATAACTCAGATTCAGTAAATGCTTTTAATGTTTGTTTTAGTTCATACAATAGCTATTAACTGAATTCAGATCATGTGGCAAGCAATTCTAACACCTGGAGATCAGAACTTTCAAAGGTTGACGTCTGGTATGCTACTTTTGGATCAAATCTGTGGTTGAAAATATTTCTTTGCTATGTTGAAGGTGGACAGGTAATACGCAATTCCAAAATAGAAATTCTAATATTTATGTTAAATATGAAACATTAATCTTTTAATAACACCTACTTCTTCTTGTACTTTGTTTTTAAATTTCATTTTTTTGGTTTTCAATAAAAATCGGTGGCAGTCTTTTAGATGAATAGGAAATGTTACAATGTGGTTACTTCTGAATTCTGTTGTCTTGCCTAATGCCCCTCATGTTTTAAAAATACATTTTCTTTTCATTCTTGTTTCCATCTGCAATATGATTTTCAGGTGGAAGGTATGAAAAAGCCATATCTTGGTTCGAGGGATAAAACTCCGCCTAAGGAGATTATGTGGAAGACTTTCCCTCATCGCTTATTCTTTGGTTGTGAATATACACATACATGGGGACCTGGAGGGGTTGCATTCCTTAATCCTAAAAGCAACATCCAGGATAAGCCTTATATGTGCCTGTATAGAATTACGTTTGTTTTCTTGTGACTCAACTCTGTCCTATTGTTTATCTTTTGCACGATATTATATTCCTTCTCAAAATACATGAATTTACAAGCAAAAGTCAACCAATTCATAATGCTTGCGCAATAGCAAATTACAAATTGTTAGTTTCATACATGATATTGGCTCCTAAATTCAGGTCCACAAATACTTGTCACATTGATGACATTATTACAATGGACCACGAGAACAACAGATAGTGATTTTTTAGTGCTTGAAAATTGTAACATGTTATGTTGGCACCAAACAACCTGGTACTGCAATTTTGTTGTTTTTTGGGCCAACATAATGGTGATGGTCCCTAACGTTTAATTTAACTCCCGCCCAAAAAAAAAGAACATTAATTTAACTATCTAACCTTTGGCTGGTAAACCAAATAAATATGATTTTATCAACCACGGTCCACACAGCTCGAATGCACGAAGCTTTGTATTAAGGATCGTGAATAGCGGGTACAGTGTACAACACTTAATAGCCAATAGGCAAATGCCACGACACCCCATCCGTACAGTTGTATTAGTTTCTTCAAAATCTGGTCAAGATACATTCTCTTTCAGAAAACAGACCTTCCTTTGATAATTGCTTTCTCTCTCTGTTTTCTCTCTATGAGTGAGTGAGTTCATGAGCTGCAGCTGCTAGAAGATAGCCTCCATTGAGGAGACCCACATGGTAAATGTGTTGATTAACCCTAAAGCTCCTTTTTTGTCTCCTTACTTGTCCATTTGCTGCTGCCGACCCACCCTCTCTGTCCTCCATCTATTATTGTCGGCTCTGTAAATATAATGTTTGATTCATCAGTTTTTCGCATTTCGATGTTAGTACGTTGCAGTTGGAAAGTCTGGTTTTTTACTGTTTATATGGGCCATTGTAGTTGTTTTTTTTAATAATATTTTTAAGTAATGCACATTTTCTTGTGTTATTCTTTATGGTTTAGCTGCGTTGGCTGGTTAGTTTTGTTGGTGATATAAGTTATTCTAGATTTTTGTTTTCCTTTGGCTGTAAGTTGATTTGTTTTTTCTTTTTTTTCTTTTTTCCGTTGGTTTTGCTTAAATTTGTTTTTACTGGCATTTGTTTTATTATTTTTAATTTCTTTTTGTATAAAGTCCCTTTTTCTTCTTCTTGGTTTTATGATTGCGATTAAGCTTCCTTTTGCCCCAGAGTGCCTATAATAGTAAGCAGATGATTATGAAACAACACTTAATGAAATCCAAATCAAGCGTTTACAAATTTGAATTTGGTCCAAGTTGGGTTATGCCTCTTTCTAATACTTCCCACCCTTTTATTTTTACAAGGCATGGTTGGTCTCAACTCAAAAGAAGCAATGCCTTGTTAAGCATGTATTGGACATGCAAACCAAATGCATGTTATACATGCTTCAAACATATTTTAAATGCTACATTGAAAATCTAATATATAAAGAAAAAAATTTAGATGGCTTTTGTGTAAATTGTGGAAAAGTCATGCCAAAGAGGCAGAGGATCAATGTGCATATGGTGTTCTTGTTGCATTTGCATTTTGTTTGGTATTCATGTAATGTCAACTCTTTTTCAAGAGTTGTAACACATTTTGTTGACTTTGCTTCCCTGACAAGATTGGATATGATTTGGTTGATTTGAATAATCTCTTGTTAGATAGAACCATTTAGATGATGTCTATGTTCTTAGGTATTAAATCACACGTGGGATGGTTGAGAGCATCTCAGCCATCCATACTTGATTGAACAACTGAGAAACATGACCTTGTTTAAATGCCTTAAGGACTGTAGGAGAGAAGTTTGTGTATTTAAGTACAACGTTAACATATTATACAACTTGATTGCCATCCTAGTTTGTATCCATTAGCATGCCTTTAACTTTTTTGCAAGTCTGGCTCTTAGTGAGATTAACTAAGGACTGACTAGTAGAGGAATAATAAACTACTACAGAAGTTGTGAAAAATGTGGATATGCATGCAGTACTATAGAAGAACCATTCAGTCTTACGATATCATAGTTCCACCATGGCTGCCATAATATTTTGCTTAAGCTTCAGTTGGCTGAGTTATTTTAATCTTTTCAATGTGATCTGCTCTACTTTTCAGGTCGGACAATGTAATGTGTGTGGTGGTATTACTGATGAAGATCTCGTTGCAACTTGCATTAAATGCAATATAAGTACTGAGCACCCGTATGACTCTCTCTCTCTCTCTCTCTCTCTCTCTCTCTACGTGCATATCTGTATCTGCATTTGTGCGTGCATGCATTTGATTACTTTGTTTGCCTGTTTCAATCAAGAACTGAATAGTATGTCTTCTGAATAATATCAGTGAATCAAAATCAAAATGCATCTTGTTTCTTGCTTAAAAGAAAGAAGACATAGAAAAATGATTAATAAAAATGGATAAAAGTACAATGAAGGTGAACAAGCAGTTCTAATTACAAACGTAATTCACCAGCTAGCCTTCCAATATGCACGGATAAACTGATAAAGAAAAATATTATTTCACAAAATTCAGTTGAAAAACCAAATCCCACAAAGTTGGTCAAAATTGAACTTATACCACAAAAGATCCTTCTAGAAGACGTTTCTTGCTAGCTTCCTAAGTATTTTAAATTACTCTCATCACCATTGTATGTCCTTCCATGCATGGTATTTTGAACCACAAGTTTGTTGGTCTGATCGCTAGTTTCTTCTCCTATTCAGTTGCTGAATTATTTTCGTCAGTTCAGTTAGACATTTCCAAAAGATATAGCTGTAACATATTTTCTAACTGTCCAGCATTCAGTCCCATATAGCCTTGCTAATATGTAACATTTGGCTAATATGTGCCTACAGGAACTATGAATATGTCTGTTTTCTAACTGTCCAGCATTCAGTCCCATATAGCATGGCTGGTCTAACAGATGTTCTATAAACTTAGCTTTCAATTCTAGCAAAATAAGATGATCACGCTATACATGTGCTTAACAAAACCCTCCATTTTACCTATCGTGCTTTGATTCTATGAGCCACATCATCTCCACTCTCCCCTTGTATATATGAATGATTGAGTACATGCTAGATAGTGAAACTTTTTGCCTTTTGATATACTATTACTGGTGCAATTGGTTGCTCTTACTGGTGCAATTGGTTGCTCTTATTGGTGCAATTGCAATTGGTGTATGATAACGATTTTATGTGGATTGTTTGAGATGCCTTAGACAGATTTTTACTCTCAAACTAGATTTTTAGCCTTTATTAGACGTCTTAGACAAAAGTATTATAGAGATATTTTTCTTAGTTTAATTCATTATTCATCTTGATCAGAGGGGGAGCTATGAGTTGAAGTAATATGTTCTTTTGTTGGACAATTGTAAGTACGATTCTCTTTCTTGTAATTTTCTTTCTTTGTTTCAATGAAAGTTTGTAACTTAAATTTGTGTTTCTTATAAAAAGAAAAATTATAAATTGCTATTAATGTAGAGTTCATGCAATAGAATTTGGTTAGTAAAAGCGTTGAGAGAGACTTGTTGTATCTACTAGCTTTTTTTGTTCAAAATATTTTGGATGTGTTATTAAAAGTGTGAAGATAGCATTTTATTCCTATGGTAAATGGATGCTATATGTGCAATGCTTATGATCTCTTATCTCAGTTATAGGAGAAGCGAAGACTTCCGTAGCTTCTGGAAATGAGCATATTGGGGAGAAGCAATCAACGGATGTCTTGGTGAAACTTCTTATAAGAAGATGGAGTCCAAAACAGTAAAGGAGCCACGCACAGTTTCAACAATGAGGCACTCATCACCTATTTCCAGTCCAGGCAAGGGTTATGACTTACAAATTATTATTATTATTTATTTTGGAACTGCAGAATTGGTTATTCTTTAAGTTTTCTTTTAAGTTTGATAAAATTGGTAATATATTTAGGTGTTATTTTTGGGTGTCCAATTCTTTCCTAACAAGTTAGGAGTACATATCTTCGCAACATTGAAATTGTATCACAGTTGTGACTGTGGTGGGTAATTTTGTTGCTTGCCATTTATTGAACCTACCTTCCTACCTTTATAAATTATGTGGTAACACTTGTGTTGTTGAACATAATCATGCAGATAATGAAGAAAGAGATCTCGTGAATATTTTTGATGGCCTCAATTTAAAGCCTTCGAATCTTCCTGCTCGAGATGCTCCTTGGAAGTGGGTAACTTCTCCTTTTAAGATGTTACATATGTGTATTCTATCATGATGTCGCCAACTCATGTTTTGATTTGAATTAGAGTTAATATATTGTTTGGTATTAAAAGTTGATGAGAAAAATGTTCCTTAAGAATATGTGTTTATTTATTTATTTTTTTTACAACTTAAATCTTCCAGGTGGGTTCGCTTTTGCATCCTATGTTGATGTTCTGAATGCACTGTTTTGTCATGGCTGCTGTTTTACATATTTACATATATCAAGTTAATTAAGTGCTCTCAAAAGCTTCATTGATGTTTCTTTCTTTAGGGGAGGCTTCATCCTTGATGCAGCCACACCTGGAGAATTCATTGGTAGGTTCCAAGCACGACCTCCATGTAAGGTCCATCCTAAAGCCTATGCATTTTCACAAAAAATGCCTCTCATCCTCAATGCTAACTGGCTTCCTCGATCCAGTATTTGGACTGATATCTTCCAAGACGATGACCCTGTCCTTGAAGATGTTGCCCTTACTTTTTCCCTGATGAAAACATTGAGAGGTATTTTTTGTCTTCTGGTTGCATGGTTTTGATATTTGAGTTTTGTTGGTGATGCAACTATCATAACATTTTGTCCCTACTGATTTGTAGATCAAGAGAGAACCATGCTCGCTGATTAACAGCATGGAGAACCAAGATTCAATGATTCGAATTTGCTTTGATAGCAAGGGGATGGAGTTGCTGATATTTACATCAGGAAGTCTACAGTTAGACTCACGAGGTTAGTTTTTTCTTATAAATTTCCTCCTCTCTTGCAATGACTTCAGCTTTCTTTTGTGTGTGTAGTCCATTTGGATTACCTTTTTCGGAGTTTTTAATTAGATTTTTTCTGTATTAGATGCATTGCTTATCTACCATTAACATTCTGGTTCATGTCAACAGTGGCAGATTTCTTATGGGGAATCTTTCGTTGTATAAAGAAGGATGTTGCTCATAATAAGGTACCTGAAGGACTCCCGTCAACGGTCGATCAAGAAAACGTGGATGACAATAAGATTGTGGATATGGAAGTTGACATGGTAGGTGGAAAGATGGTGGGAAGAGTTGATATAGTGGTTCCGAGGGATTCAAAGGTTATCTGGAACACTAAATCATCATCAGGTACTATTTATAAACCTTGATATTCAATCCTTAAACAAGAACTTTCTTTTGATCTATCAATGGAACATACTGATGCTGCTTATCCTCAACCCTGGTCATAAATGAAGACCAGATGTGGCTTACAAAAGACTTGGGAAAAGAAGAGGTTAAATCCCCCTTGAAACAGAGGAGGAGGAATCGGCAGGCCCTCAAAGTGCTACTGGTTCAACTGAGTGAATGACAGGGGCATCTTCAACTGTTAATTAACCATGGAGATTGAAACTGCAGCTCAAGAGTCATCACCAACTTTTAACCAGACATAACCACAGTAGACTCGGCTTCATCTAGGACCCCTTTGGGACATAGCCACAGTAGACTAGATAGCTAGCTTTCAACAAAAAATATATATACCCCCCTAAAGAAAAAACAGAGTCCTCTGCTTGTAGCGCCTCTTACTTGTATTGGATCTTTTTTGGCTAGGTGACATCTCGGTTTGATGATAGAAGATGTATTTAACTATGCAGATGCAATAACTTTAGTTATTTGTGAATTCTCAAACGTGAGATCCTAATCTGCTCCAACATATTTGATGGAAGGTGTTACAATCTCATCACGTAACAAAGTCTTGGGCCCAGCCCAGCCCTAATTAAGCAGAGCAGAGCAGAGAAGCTAAGAAGAAGAAAACAGTTACAAAAACGCAGTTAACAAGAAGAAGACTAGTGGCTCCTTATACAACTGATCTTGCTGCTGCTCCTCCCCAACCTCCGCTCTCCGCCGTAGTGTTGTTGTTTCCTCCCAGAGAACAAAAACACTGGGCAACCCCTGCCTTGATCTCTACTTTCGCGTCCTACCAAAAACCCGAGCCCCCTACAAATCTCTCGACCAACTTCTGCCGCTGGCCTGGTCACATGACCTCCTAACCACCCTCAAGCTCATCTGCAACCTCCGAGACGATTATTATCTCGGAAAATCCTATTTACAAGCGTTTTACGGGGCGGCGCTTTGGCTCCACCACAACCACCCCAAGACTTTAGCCTGCAACTCCGCCACTTTTGGTAAAGTATTCTGTACCACGGTATTAGAGTGTAACATGCATGAATAGAGCTGATGTCATACAAAATGGATATTGTTTATGTTGAAGTGATTGGAATTTCATGTGAAACTCAATTACTAAAAAGGTATTTAACCCAACAATTGTAAACTTTCAATAATACAGTGACTCATTTGGTTAATATTTTTTTTTCGAGATAATAAAAATTGAAATTTCGTATAAACTCCAATAAGCAAAAAAGGCATTTAACCTTAAATTTTGCGTGCTTCGTCCATATTTCAATTTATCTGGGGTTAGCCCATCAGCCAATGTCCAGTCAAATGCATGGACTAGGGTTGCAGCCATGAGATGGATCATACGCAAGCCCAGGCTCATCCCAACTAATCTATATATATAAAGCAAAAGACAGAGAATGGTGAAACATTCAAAAGGACAAAAAATGCCCTTGGTTAATGCAAACATTAAGAATTGAAATTATTAATTAAATGAGGATAATATGGTAAATTCACGCTTTTTCATATTAAAAAAAATAAAATTAAAAGAAAATTCAGATAATGTATCCTATTTTTATGGAACACAACTACCCATTATCTTTTTTAATTCCAAATTTGAATTTTCCTCTATTTATCTCGATCTTATTCATTGTCGTTTATTATTATTTATTTGAAGATCAATTTGGAACAATGATGCCTTTTGTTTCAATCTTTTCTATTTTGCATCAATCCTTTCATCTCCCACTCTGTGAATTCAATTACCTGAAACCCTTTTTAAATAGGTATTCACTCAATTGTCACAGTGGATCCCAGAAAGTCCCTCAAATAAATTAGTTTTGCTTTTTCATTGTCGAATTTACATATGAAGTGCATGCATGACTAAAAAGAAATATCAAGACAATTTGAACTTCTCTTTTGACAAATGCAATACAAAACTTTCTCCATCCGTCTAACTTTCCAACACAAATGCAATACATATTCTCTTTCTTTTAGGCCATTCTACAATCACTAGAATATATACAACACGAGGTAGCCGTAGATGCATTTTCTCAAAAGTGTTTGGAATCTTAAAAATGTTGATGAATTCACATATAATGTATAAACCATTTGGTAAATTGAAAATGAATCCCACCATATAGATACAATGGTGTGGGGTACACTGAAATCATGCTGGCCAAGTATTAGGAATCTCTAGCTTGAAATACCGTAATGAGGGGATATGGTGAGGGGTTGCAAGTTGACTCATAACTTAATACTATGCAATTAGATTAGGGGACTATATGGAAATGCTGTAACGGGGGGTTGTGACAGAGGTTCAATCCCACTATTCAATAAGAAAGAGAAAATATTGGACTTAAAATTTGTTTAATAATCGGATGGTTAGATTGAACCGTTCATTCCACCCCCCTCCATTGTAGCATCTCCTAGGGACCATGAACCTCTTATAGGTCCATTTTGAAACTCTAAAGATGAGATTTGAGCTATTCAATTCAATACAAGTTTGAGCCCATTTGAACTTGATTTCTTCGAACTTGAAACTATGTCTTTGTTGATTATTCAATTCAAACGTAGAGTCATTCTATAAGGCCCTTACATGAGGTCATACTCATATATTTTAACCGTTGGATCAAACTAATTAATTTGATTTAATGATTAACCAATTTGAATCAATGATTAAGAGATAGGGCCTCATCTAAGGGCCTTTGATAAGGTCCTCACTATAGAGTTATTGTTCAAGCGTGTGAGCATCAATCTTTAGGCCAAGTTTCAGTCAAACCAATCTATCACACTATTTTCTGGGCTTTCTTTCGGAGCCTCCAAGTTGGGCCTTGACTATGCTGCCTCCAAAATTTTTTGCAAGTTTAAAACCAAGTCATTGACTTAAGATCAATTGGGTCTTCGACAAAAAGAAGAAGATCATTTCGGTCTTCGACCTAAAAACAAAGATCATTTGGGTCGCTAAATAGAAGCCCTAATTGCAATTGAATTTGGGGTAAATTCTTAATCCAAACCTTCCCGAAATGGGTCAGCCCAATTCATTTTAGTTTCGAGCGGACTGAAATATCCCAACCCAGTTTCCAGCCCACGATAACCCTTAAAAACAACGGATGAGATCTATCTAAGTATTTCAGCAAATCAAAGCCGTCCACCGTGTCATCACGAAGCACATATAAATCCTATAAAACCCTAAACTTTCACTCCCGACCTTCTTCTTAGTAGCCCGCCGAGAACCCTAACCCTAGCCAGCGTCCTCCAAACCACAGAGGCATCAACTCGGTGAGTAGCTTCCGGATCCCGGTTTTGATTTTCGTTTACATTTCGATTTCATGCCATTCGATCTGCAAATTTAGGGCATCAAACGAGTGATTTGGTGATTTATTTTCGTAATTTTGAATACTATTTTTGTTGCCTCTGTATACTGTTACTTAATTTTGATTTGGTTTCTGAGAAAATGGAGCATAGAATAGCATTTTGCTAGCTTGGTGCTGTGTTTGACAGCTGGGGAAGGGATCACTTTGAATGAAGAGCATTTGGTTTTGATGGGTATTTGTTTTATAATCTAAAACATAAAGGTGTTTGCTGGTATCTTCAGGAAAACAGTGATGTTTATGTGCATATTTTCGTTGCTTTGTGTTTCAGCTGGAATTCTTCTTTCTCACTTTGTTACTGGTACAGTTAGGAAAATGTGCACAATAGTGTTTTGACATATTAATATTAAACACTATAAAATGTGCACATTAGCAGTTTACACGCTATAAAAGAAAAAAAAGAAACTGCTAAGATAGATGTCTAGAAAAACATGGGCGATAAAGGAAAACTTTTAAGACGACGATTTTATCACACGCGCTCGATTAAAATATGAAATTGTTGAAAGGGACATCTATATAAATACAATTACGGAAAAAAAATTACGAAACTTTGGAAGTTGCGAGTAGCGCGCGATTAAAAAAAGCCTCTTGCACATGCGATTAAAAAAAGCCTCTCGGACGTGCGGAAGCGCGTGTAGAGAGGCTAGTATATAGTAATATATAAAAAATATATATAATGTAAAACAAATTTTAAATAACAAAAAATTGAAAAATATAAATATAGTACAGTGTAGCATTTTGGTCTTCCTTTTTTATTCTTTACATAACAAAAAATTGAAAATCATTACAATTTTAATACTATTGCTGAAGACCCAAACTCATTAGGTCTGCCGACATCTTTTTCTTCCTCGCTCGTGCCGATCTCTTCTTCTCTCTCTGTGTCTCTCTCACACGGAGTATCCGTTACTGGATACACCACTAGATTGGCGTATCTATGGTATCAAGTTTTGGAACCAGTCGAACCAGCTCTGAATCAGGTTGAATCAGTTTTAATTATCTCCAAACCATCAAAAACGGGACTGGCTTGAATATTTTTAATTATATATTTTTTTAAATGATTAATACACGTGTCAGTGGCTGATTGGTCCATTTGATGCCATAGCTATGCCTTGCCACACTCGATCCAGCGAAACCCTAAACATTTCAGCCACTCAAATTTTTTTTTCATTCCGTTCTTCCTCTCCCACTGAGTCTCTCTCACTATGCCGACAACTCTCTCAACCTCTCCCCAAATCCTTCGACAACTTCTTCCAGATCTCTCTCAGACACTCTCTCTCTCTCTCTCTCTCTCGCTCTCGCTCTCTCTCTCAGTCATTCTCAATTTCCCTCTCTCGGTTTGCGTATCTATGGTATCAAGTTTTGGAATGGGAGGTTTCGAAAAGCAAAAGGTATTAATTTAATTGTTTTTAATGTTTCAGTTTGTTGCTTGCTTGCTTGCTGGGTTTGTTTGAATATAAGAGAGTGAGGTAGTTGTTTGAATATATGTAGTGGTATCTCAGATGCTCGCGCTAAGTTTTCTTCTTGTTAAATTCATGACATATATGGTCGCCTTAAGGACTATAATTAATTAATTAATTCTTGTGTATTGCCGTCAACATTTACATACATTATTTTGGGACCATATTCACTATATATATATACATGCATGGTTTTTGTTTGATGAATATTTTTCTTGTTTTTTTTTTCATGGTTTTGGATAGTGGGAGTGGAAATTTGATATGATAAACAATAAATTATTGTTTGATGAATATTTTTCTTTTTTTTTCTTCATGGTTTTGGATACTGGGAGGTGGAAATTTGATATGATAAACAATAAATTATTCTGCTACTCATCTTTATATAAGATTGATTGTCAGTGTTTCAAATCTTGACAAACAGTTTTTTTTTCTTTTGGTATTATAGGAGGGTTCTCAATTTGAAGGAGACGCTTTTGCGAAGGCCTATGAGGAAAAACTAGCAATGGATGCCAAAGCTAAACATGTAAGTGTTTGTATATTTATTGTGCAATCTCAACTATTCAATGTACGATTACTGCAACATTTTTATAAATAAAAAAAAAATTATTAGGGGTGGGCACGGCACGATTTGGACCAGTTTTTGCATCAAATTAGAATTGAGCTGGTACTATTCATCCAGTTTGGTTCG